GCCAGGAGCTGCCCGCTTCTCCCTGCTGAGCCCCCACGTGGTCCGCCCCCCCCCCGTCCTCTGCTGGACCCTCACGTCCCGCACCTCCCTGGACTCCCCACTCCCGGTCTGCGCCCCACGCTTGGCCACGGGGAGCCTGTGGACGTGAGTCAGTCTACGTCCTTTCCCTACTTAGAGCCTCTGCGTGGCTGTGCCTCACTCCGGGGAAGGGACAGAGCGATCCCCGTGGCTCACAAGTCCCTACGTGATCTGCCCCCGCCACTCGGCCTCCTCTGCCCTGATCACACCTGGGGTCATTTGTCCTGACTCGTCTCTGGGTGCTGCCCCTGCCCAGTGCTCTTCCTCCAGGTATCCCCGTGGTTCCCTCTCCCGTCCCCCTCAGGTTGCTGCTCAAGTGTCCCCTTCCCAGCCATGCCCCCCTGACCCCTTCATTGAAAATTCTAACCTCTCCTGACCCTTCCTTTGTGTATGTCCTCAGCATGTACCATCTGACTTACTAGATGTTTTTCTGAGTCAGCTCATTGATGGACGGTCTTCTTTCCCCTAGACAGTGAGCTCTGCACGGGCAGGGAGGCTGCTGGCTGTCCCGACCACCGCTGGGAGCCCAGCCCCTGCCGGGCAGAGATCAGCGACGGTGGGCGGGCGCAGGAGCATAATGCGCTCCTTCTTGGGTAGAGCAGGTGCCCAGAGCTCGTGGCAGGGTCTGGGGTCAGGGTCCCTGAAGACTCCTCGGAGGAGCTCAGCTCCAGACAGGAGCCTGGGAGAGACGTTTGGACTGGGGAGGCCAAGCGAGCCCAACACAGGTGTGGGGGCGGGGCGGGGGTGGGGGTTAGGGCTGCAGTGAGGCCTCTGCTGGGGGCCGCACTCCCCTTCTGTGGTCAGAACGCAGCCAGGGGGGTGGGCACACTGAGCTGGGGAGGGGCTTCCCGGGGCCAGCAGGTGAAGGTTTGGCAGAAAGGCGAGTGGAGCCAGGGGTGAAAGCCCTGAGTGCAAGCCCAGGACAGGGAGCCCTCCTTCTGGTCCTCTTCTGACTGAGGGGTTCGTTTGGGCGAATATAAAAGGACCGTGACATTGTCATATCTCCTGCTCTTTCCCCGCCCCCCCCCCTCCCCCAGGTCCCGCCAGGTCAGCTCCCAGAACTGCAGCTGTAGTCAGGCCTGGGGGGAGGGAAGGGAGCAGGAGGCAAGGGGCTTGGCCCACACACGCCCCAGACGCAGCTCAGTCGCCCAAGTGGATCTTGCTCTTCCACTGGAGCTGATTTCCTTGCTGGGGAGAGTTCGGGTGAGCGGGTGTGTGGCCTTCAATTTCTCCTGAAAGCTCAGAGTGTAGAGCCGGTGAATCCAGGGGTCCCAAGGCAATCTGAAGCTTTTGCTGGGACAGGTTGGAAACTTCCTGTCCCACGTGTTGAATAATTCAAAAGACTTTATTTTTTTTTTAATCACAATGAACATTTGAGAGTAGAATGCAAAACACGCCTGCGTTCTTGGGATCAAACCCCAGGCCTCCGAGGCGTCTGCACACTGTCCTCCTGTGTTCCCTTGCTGCTTCACCCGCTGCCCCTGGGTCCCGGGCACCTCTCTGCCAGAGTTCCCCAAGTACTGCCTGGGCAGGGTCGGCGGTGCCCAAGCAGGGCTGCAGCCGAGCGGGCACAGATGAATCAGTTCATTCACCAAAGGTTCCCTGAGTGCCTAGTGTGGGCCGGGACCGTGTTGCAGACACAGGGGTCCAGTGGGGGAGCAAGACGCAAGACAGGTGCAAAGAAGAAGGCATAGGGGTGGCTCAGTCAGTTAAATGCCTGGCTTCGGCTCAGGTCCTGATCTCACGGTTTGTGGGTTCGAGCCCCGCGTTGGGCTCTGCTGACAGCTAGCTCAGAGCCTGGAGCCTGTTTCGTATTCTGTATCTCCCTCTCTCTCTGACCTTCCCCTGCTCATGCTGTCTCTCTCTCTCTCTCTCTCTCTCTTTCAGAAATAAATAAAAACATTTAAAAAGAAGAAGAAGAAGAAGGCATAGAAGGAGCCAGGACAGGAGCAGGGATATTGGAGCACAGACGTGGGTAGGGGGAAGGAGGGAGGGGGCCTTGTGCAGATCAGGGAGAATGACATTCCAGCAGGTGAGGTGACAGCCAGTGCAAAGGCCCTGAGGTGGGTATGTCTAGGGCTTGAAGAACAGCAAGGAGGCCCATGTGGCTGGAGCAGAATGAACGAGGCAGCAGAGGTAACAGGCCGATCGTACAGGCCCCGGGACACAGGGAGGAGCCGTGGGAGCCAGCAGAAGGCTGAGGGAGGGCGACTCTGGTGGGACTGACTGTCTTCTAGGCCCAGCTCTGCTTGGTAACCTGAGCAAGAGATTTCATCTTTGTGATCCTCACTTTCCACGTCTGCAAAATGGGGAAGAGAAGAGCCGCCCCCCCCTCCCCAAGGTCATCAGAGATCCGTTAGCTCAGTGTCCCCATCTGCACAGGGCCATGGGGGCCCTCGTGGTGGTGGTAGCGATGCAAGTCCCAGAGCTGAACCTCGGCAAGGCACATTTGGTGGCAGGGGCTGGTTGGAGGACATCTTTTCTGCTCCAGAGTGTCCTGCCAAAGGCCTGCGGTAAACGTGGATAAAGATGGGGGGCAGGGGCAAGAAGCCCGCTCTGTGGTGCCTCCTGCCACCTTGGGGCCCTGGGACAGGTGAGACAGAAGGTAGGGACCCTCGGCTCCAGGCAGGGCCAGGGCAGGACCGAAGGGCAGGGTGTGCGCGTGGACTGGAGGCTTGAGTGGGATGGAGGAAGGCATCCTGGCCATGATGATGCCAGAAACAGCGGCGTCCCTGTGGCCCTCGGGACAGGCCAGGCAGGGGCTTGGGTGCTCATCTGCCCGAGTTCCAGTCCTGGATGCCCTGGACAGGGGACTCCAGGGGGCAGCCGCCTTTATTTCCAAGGACCACCTGGGCCCGGGCTGCGGGTTAATAGGCCTGGAGCCTTGTGTCGCTCGCTGCCAAGCTGCATGAGCTGGGCAAGTGGCCGGTGCCCTGCCCGCACCTGGGTCTACCGTACAGAGGTCTGTCTGTAACGCGGGGCTTGTGAAGGCTGCTTCCTCGTGGGTCATGTGTGCAGATTCAATGAGGGACTCCAGAGGGGGGGGGTACTTAGAGGAGGGGGCAGCGCACAGTAGGTGCTCAGGTAAGTGCTGGCTGCTGCTGTGGTGACGATGACCGATCTTTGCTGAGCACTTCCTTGCTGCCAGGCGGACAGGGCCTTGCGTTCTCACTGTGACTCCTGTAAGGGCTCCGGGGAGCAGGCACTGGCATTATTCTCTGTAACAGAGGAGGAAACCGAGGCACGGAGTGGCTGAGCCGCTGGCCCCTGGCCGCTGAGCTCCCGTGGTGGTTGGCTTCATGGGTATAGGAGGCGAGGCGGCTCTGGGCTCTGGGCTGACTCGGGTTCCAGGCTGGCTGGGGAACCTGGGCACCCCGTCTTCACTCACCTCCGTGCTCCCGGCACAGGCACCCGCCTTTGTGTAGCGGCTCCTCTGCCTTCCCCTCTGTGGCCCCCACAAGGGCAGGGGACTTGGTGGGGGCGGGGAGCTTGGCGAGGGAGCTGGCAGGCCAGGAGCCGCCAGGGAGGAGCTGGATGGAGCCTGATCACTATAAACATGGCCAGTTCCTCTGTTTGTCTGGCCCTCCTCCGTGCGGTGCCCAGAGGGAGAGTGCCCCCCCTTCCCCTCCACACAAGGGCAAACATCCCCTTCCCCTGCAGGGTCACACGCGTGCAGGGCACGATAAACGGAGCTGGCTGCGGTGTACCAAGGTGGCTTGGGGTTTATGGTGAGGGCTCCAAGTCGGCGCTCCCACGTGCCAGGCTGCCTCCAGCGCACCCCGTCTCTGCGATAAGCTCCTCCCACGTTAGGGTCCTCCCCTCCCTCTCCTGGGTATGGTGAGGGGTCACGTGGCTAACTCTGTGCCCCCGGAGTGACTTGGTGCCTCTGGCTGTGGGCTGCCTGGTGGAGGATGGGTAGGGAGGAGTGAGAGAGGCCAAGGTGAGGGGTGAGGCCGGGCCCAGGGCCAGGTGGGGGCACTTCTGGGAACACAGCGAGGAGGTGGAGGAGAGGCCCTGGGGTGACAGCAGAGAGGACAGGGTAGGGTCCAGCTGTGGTGACAAGGCAAGGACTGTACTAGGAAGTGGGGGACAGCCTAGGGCAGAGAGGTCGGAGCCAGGATAGGGTGGGCGGGGCCAGGGATGGACGTCTTGGGGGCAGGGGTGGGCAGGGTTCTGTGGGCCAGAACGGGGGAGAGACATTGAAGGGGCTCCTGGCTTGGTTGGAGTCAGAGAGGGGAAAGAGGCAGAGGCCCCCATCCTGGCCAGGGCTGTCACACCCCACATCCCGGCAGCCAGGGGCCCCAGAGCAAGCTGGGAAATTGGACCTGCTTGGGGAGCCCTGGCCAGACCTGGCTCTGGCCACCTGCTGCCCAGAGGCCCCAACAAGTTGAGGCTGGTTGTCTGCTGGGTCCCCACCCCCTCCCGCTGGGCTCCTGCTACCAAACCGGTTCTCCTAGACGGCTACCCACCGATAGTCCTACCTCTTCCCTCACGGAGCTGCTCCCACAGGAGAGGACCCGGGAGGGAGGAGAGCCCGGGCCGAAGGGCCGCATCCCAGACACGCTTGAGAGCGTCCTCACTAGGTCACAAGACTCACTAAGCTCGGGGCCTACCCCGAGTCGGGCGCTGTGCCAGGTTTTTGCAGCACGAACCAGGCAGAGATCCCCGCCCAGTACATTTCCCCTCCTCCTCTGGGCTTTAGTTCACATGGCCTCTCTGCTGGGAAGCCTCCCGTGGCCCCCACCCGACCATCCTTCACACAGGGCTGGTACTTTCTGACCCCAGCCCTGAGTGCCCTGGGCTGTCAGGGGGCTATCTTGGTCAACACTGTGTCCCAGCATCTTCCAGTACAGGACTGGGCACAGAGGAGTGGGTTACTGATGGATGAATGAACGAATGAATGTTTTCTTCCCATTTTACAGATGAGTAACTCGAGGCCCCAAGAGGAGACGTCACCTGCCCGAGGGCACTTCTAGCACAGCCAGCATCAAACCAGGTCTGTGGGACTCCGGGGCCCGTGTATGGGACAGGGGAGCAGGACCCGGGGCCCCTCCTCCCTCAGACACTGCGAGGAGTACTCCTTATCACCAGAGTCACACACGTGGACAGGGCCCTCCCTCCGTGCCCGGCTCTGCTCCTGTGAACTCAGTTATTCCTCACAGCAGCCCTGTGAGGCGTGATCCGAGGCACAGAGAGGTCAAGTCACTTGCCCAAGGTCACACGTAGTAAGTGGCAGAGAGAGATTTGTGCTCTGGCCATTTGAGTCCCCTTCTCCTTGTCACCCCAGTCTCCCCTACAGCCCCTTGGGTTTTAAAACTGGCTTTCATTGAGCATTTATGCCTAGCCTGGTACTATCCTAAGTATTCACCCAAAGGCGGGTGTCTTTTGTCTGTTAGCATCCGCTGCACGGTAGAAGTTTCCCCACTGTGTGAACTCAGTTCTGTGAACCTCAGTCTCTTCATTTAGAAAGTGAGAGTGTTGCGTTGAGGCTTCTAGGGGTCGTGCATGGGAGGGGGATTGTGTAAGCAGCTGTTGAAAAAGTAACCAAAGGTGTGGGGGGCTGGCCCAGATTCCGGGCTGGGAAAGCAGAGGTGGCTGAGGCCAGGCCTTTAGGAATCGGTCACTGAGTACATGCTATGTGCCCGGCACAGTGCTGGGAATGGGGTAGGACACAGGGACACTGGGCAGGTGTGACCTGGCCCCTGGTACTGATATTCCAGTGCTGGTGGGGGTAGACACTGAGCTGGTAAACATGAGAACGAACAGCAGAATTTCCAGACGTTAAACATGTTCTGAAGCGATGTCGTGGAAGGCTCTGAGACCTGAAGGAGGGGAAGGAGGGAGTCATGTGTGGATACGAGGGAACAGTGTCCCACGAGGAGGGAACAGCCAGTGCAAAGGCGCTGAGGCTTGAAAACCAGTGTGAGCATGAGTGAGGGGGAGGTGAGAGCAGAGAGGTGACAGGGCAGGTTGTGTGGAGTGGGCCACCAGGAGGACTTGGCTGAGGGCTCAGAGCATGGGCAGGTGTCCGCAGGGTCCCTCGGGCTGCCTGTGGGGGACGGGAGGGCAGGGAGGAGACGAAGAGGGACAGGACCAGGGCGGGCAGGGCCGGAGCAGCAGAGAGGAATGGGTGGGTTCTGGTGAGTGGCCCCTTCCCGCAGGCCTGCTGATAGGAGCCCGAGTCCGCACCCTCGTGGTGCCCAGAGCCTCAGCACCATGTTTGGGAAGAAGAAGAAGCGGGTAGAAATCTCAGCGCCATCCAACTTTGAGCACCGCGTGCACACGGGCTTTGACCAGCACGAGCAGAAGTTCACGGGGCTGCCCCGCCAGTGGCAGAGCCTCATCGAGGAGTCGGCCCGCCGGCCCAAGCCCCTGGTGGACCCCGCCTGCATCACCTCCATCCAGCCCGGGGCCCCCAAGGTAGGCCAGCGCTCACCACCGCCCCTCCTGCCCCCACCCCTACCCCACACGGCGCCCCTGGCCCTTAACCCCACGCTTGGTCCTGCGGCCAGCACCTCCTCGCTGACCGCCAGACACACACCCCCCAACCGTCCACCCTGCGCCTCGCCCCCAGCGCTGGCGTTTCACCCCTCCACCCGCTGATCCCTCCCCTTGCCTCTCAACACCAACCGCTACCTTGCCCCCTGCAGCAGCCCCCCACGCCTCCCAGTACTGCTTCTTTCCCTGGGCTCCACGCCCCTGTCCCCAGTACCAGAAACTTGTCCTGGGGCAACGGACAGACCCCCCACCACCACCACCATGGTCCGACTAGGCTCAGAGGAGCTGCTGACCCAGCCCCGCAGTCCTGGACAGCATCTCAGGGGACGCCTGTGCAGCCGGGAGGGCTACGGAGGAGTCCCTGTGCCGAAAGGAGAGGAGCCCCGACATTTAGGGGAGAAAGGCTTGGGGGTCTTTCAATTTGAGGCTTTTTTCCCCTGCCATCTTGAGCAAAAGGGTGGAGTTGATCTTTTTCCAAGGCCCGCACTCTTACCACCCTGTCTGTGGGGTCCGGGCGCCCAGGCGTGGCCTGCAGGGAGGCTGGCCAGGTGACAGGTGTGAGCCTGCCCAGCCCGGGAAGCTGGCCTCGGAGCGTGGACTTCACCCCACGGGCAGTGGGAACCCGGAAGGGCCAGGGGCACAGCCAGGGTCGTTCTAGGGGGCAGAGACGGGTGTGCCCAGCAGTGGCCCGGCGCCTGGGGGCAGGCCTGCAGCTGACTCACCCTCCCCTGGTGCCTAGCCCCTGCCTGACGGGAGGACGCCCTTAGTGATCCGCGTGGCGGGTGTAGACACAAGGGCAGGCGCTCAGCAGGAGGACCAGGAGATCTATCCGGTGGCCCGCGAGGCGTCGGGGCATCACATGCGGGCCTTTGGAATACTTCGTAGTCTTTGCCACCGCTTAAAGCAGCCGGGGCCTCACGTGTAGATCTTTGTTTCTGGCTCTCCCGGGCCCCACCCAGCCCCCCTCATTCCCTCCCCTGGCTGGCTCCGGGGCCGCGGGAGCGCTGGCTGTGGCCTCCCTGAGGGACCTCCTAAAATCTAGCTCCAGCTCAGCCCACCGTGAACCCTGCCCGGAGGACGAGGTGCCTCATTGTAATTCGCACAAAGGTGCCACATGGGCTGCTGTTGGCTGGGAACCTCCCTGGTCCCCGCAGGCCCTCCCCCAGCCCACAGGGACTTAGCCTCTTAACCCAGCAGCAGAGTGAGCGGGTATCTACCTTCTTCACTGGGCTCCTAGGCGGGCCCGGGGGAGGTGGGCGCAGGGGTGCTGCGGCCTGTGCGTGGCTTTGGTGGCATCGGTGTTTTCTGCACAGTCGAGGCAGCTCTGGCTTGAGGCTGTCTGGCAGCCCTGGGCCCGCATCCCCGCCCAGCAGTGACCGATAGCAGAGGGATGGGGGTGCGTACTCTCTGCTTCCCGCAGCCGCCCCCCCCCCCCCGGTTCAGCCAGTGTTTACTGAGCACTCTTCTGCATGCGTCCCAGACCCCATTCTGGGTGTCTAGACGTGCTGGGCCAGGAAGGCAGGGGAGGACGGTGGCTGTGCTGTGCAGTGGCCACCTTCGTGAGTGTTGCCCTAGGGGTATAGGCGATGGACCGCTCATGAGTGCTGCGCATCTGCTGGCTTGGAGTGCTCTAGAGACAAAAATGCAGGGAACGGGAGCAGGGAGAGTTGGGCCTGGCATTTTAGACTGGTCAGCAAAGGCTTCCCTCTGAGACCCTGTGGAAGGAGCCACAGGCATACTTGGGGGAAGATGTTCTAGGAAGAGCTGACAGCCAGTGCAAAGGTCCTGAGGTGGGAGTGTGCCTGGTATGTCTGAGGGAGGCCTGTGTTCCTGGAGCTGAATGGGGGCTGGGGGAATCCTGGAGGCCTTGACTCAATACTCGAGGGGAGAGGCGGCCGGGGCCCAGAGGGTGGTGGATGTGGCAGGTGAGGCGTGGATGGGACACACTCGGTCCACCGAGCCCCCACGGGAATTCGCATTTGCCCCTGTTGCTCCTGGGTACTTCTGCCCTGCGCTTCGGGCCCAGCCCTTCCTGACTGTCCCTGTCCTCCACCCTCGGCTTCCAGGGAACCCAAGAGCGTGGTGGTGGGGCTGACAGCCCTCGCGGGCCGCAGGGGAGGTGCAGGTCAGAGCCATGCCCTGGCCCCAGCATCCTGTAATTGTCGGCTCTCCGGGGCTGATTACGGGCTGGCGTGGGCTGTGCACTCCATCCTCCGCTGGCCCACAGGGCAGAGGCCCGCTCCTGGCGTGCAGAGTCAGAGAAAGACAGGGAGTGCTTCTCGGGGGCCCCGCCAGCCCAGGGGCGACAGCCTGCCCTGCGGGAGGTTCATCCTCCAACTCTCCTCCTGCGATGGATGGACAGACAGACAACTCAGTGGTGTGGGAGGGACTGCAGGGGCCTCCCCCACCCGCCCGGCCCCATCATCACCCCATGGCATTTCTTCATTCCGTCTCTGTCTTGTCTCTGTGTGTGTGTTGTGTTGTGCCGCCCTCGTGTGTCGGATCCACGTCCCGTGTCCTCCTCTTCCTTGCCCGGCCCCCGTCCCGCCATTGCCCTGGACCCCAGACCATCGTGCGGGGCAGCAAAGGCGCCAAGGATGGGGCCCTCACGCTGCTGCTCGACGAGTTCGAGAACATGTCGGTGACGCGCTCCAACTCCCTGCGGAGAGACAGCCCGCCGCCACCGGCCCGAGCCCGCCAGGAAAACGGGATGCCCGCAGAGCCGGCCCGCGCGGCCAGAGGGGCCCCAGAGAAGGCGGGCGGCCAAGGCCGGGGCGCCAGTCGCAGCGAGGCTGGCGGCAGCAGTGGTGACAGGCGGCGGGTGGGGCCAGAGAAGAGGCCCAAGCCTTCCAGGGAGGGCTCGGGGGGACCCCAGGAGTCCTCCCGGGATAAACGCCCCCTCTCCGGGCCTGACGTCGGCACCCCCCAACCTGCCGGGCTGGCCAGTGGGGCAAAAGTGGCAGCTGGCCGGCCCTTTAACACGTACCCGAGGGCTGATACGGACCACCCGTCCCGGGGCGCCCAGGTAACCAATCCCCTGCCCCAGGACCCCCCGCCATCCCTTTCTCCAAAGCTTCCCTTGTTCCCCTCACCCGCCGGCCCCACCCTGTGCCCAGCCCACTGTCCATCTCCATCCTGACCGCCGTGTGTCTGTCCCACAGCCAGGGCCCCTGTCCTGCTCAGGGAGCAGAGCTGGCCCCTGGCCCCTCCACTCACAGCCGCCTCTCTTTTCTGTTGCAGGGGGAGCCTTACAACCTGGCCCCCAACGGGCCGTCGGCAGGGTCTCGGGCTGTCCCCCAGTCCTCCTCCTCCTCCAGGCCTCCCACCCGAGCCCGTGGACCTCCCAGCCCAGGAGTGCTGGGCCCCCACGCCTCCGAGCCCCAGCTGGCCCCCCCGGCCCGCCCTGTCGCAGCCCCCACCGCCCCCGCTGCCCCCGGGCCCCCCGGGCCCCGCTCGCCACAGCGGGAGCCACAGCGAGTGTCCCACGAGCAGTTCCGGGCCGCCCTGCAGCTGGTGGTGGACCCCGGCGACCCTCGCTCCTACCTGGACAACTTCATCAAGATCGGCGAGGGCTCCACGGGCATCGTGTGCATCGCCACCGTGCGCAGCTCGGGCAGGCTGGTGGCCGTCAAGAAGATGGATCTGCGCAAGCAGCAGAGGCGCGAGCTGCTCTTCAACGAGGTGGGCCTCGGGCCGCCTCCTGTCCCTCCTGTCCCCGCCGTCACCCTCCTCCTGGTGTCCTCCACCAGTGGGTTTCGAGGCTCATTCTGGGCCAACCCCTGTAGGGGTGGGGATGGGAGAGGGCCATCCAGAGCTAGGGTTCCCTGGGGCTGGGTTCTGGGCCTGTCTCCTCTCCTTACTCCTCACACCTACCCGGGCTGTCACCTCTCCGCCCCCCTGCACCCCCACTGCATCCTTGTTCCTTGCCTCTCCTGAGCCCCAGGTCACTCCCACCCTCCCAAACTGGCCCCCAGCCCCTCCCCCACCCTGCCCCTTCCCTGGCCCGTCCCCATCTCCCAGCTGCCCCTGCGCAGCCCTATCTTCTCCTCACCTCTGCCCGCCTCCCCCCTTGGGCACCCCCAGGCACCCCCACACGGCGGCTGAAGGGCTCTTTCAGACATGTGCACCTGTCCCGCGGCCCCCCCTTTTACTGACCCCTGCAGTCCCACCTCCCCACCACTCAGTGTCCTCAGGATAAAAGTCTGGCCTCTTTGCCCAAGTCTAAACTCTGGCTTTTGCCTCCTGGTCTCAGTACTCCTTGGCTGTCCCCATGACCCTTCCCCCGGCCCCCCAACATTACAGGCCTCCAGCTGCACCGGGAGCTGCTCAGCGGGACCCTTGCACGCGGCGTGTTCCCACCTTCCCCCCGGCTTTGCCTTGTTAGGCCTTCTGCCCCTGCAGTCCATCCCCCCAGCCTCTTATTCTGACCTCGGCCGATAACCTGCTTGTCCTGAGGTCTCTCCCCTGTGCGTAGGTGTTCTTCTCCCGAGTCCCTATCCCAGCACCAGCCTGGTCCTCAGGGCCACTCAGACACCAGCTCAGGGCTGGTCAGGGAGCAGGATCCAAACATGGGATGGGGGCGGAGCTCACCCCCACCGTGCAGGCATCGGGCCCCGAACCGCCCTTGGGGTCTGTTGGCTTTGGCACTGGGGTGGGCGGTCCAGGATGACCCTGGTGAGTGGGAGCAACCTGCGGGACTGGGCCTGCGGTGGGACCCCAGCCCGGGCGGGACGGGGAGGCAGGAGGGCGGCCCACCCGCTGACCCAGCCCGGTGCCCAGGTGGTGATCATGCGTGACTACCAGCACGAGAACGTGGTGGAGATGTACAACAGCTACCTGGTCGGGGATGAGCTCTGGGTGGTGATGGAGTTCCTGGAGGGCGGCGCCCTCACCGACATCGTCACCCACACCAGGTACCACCACATGGCCGGGCCCCAGCGGGCACCCAGCCTGCTGCCTCCCTGGGCTCTCCGGAGGGGGGAGCTGCATCCCCTCGGGCCTGTCCCACGACAGGAGGAAGTCCCCTCAGACTCTCTGGGGTGGTGCCGTGTCTGGGGCCAGGAGGGCCGTGTCCCCCTCAAACCCCCGGGCGGGGCCCTGTCTGCCCCTGTCGCTGACCCCCTTCCCGCGCAGGATGAACGAGGAGCAGATCGCCGCTGTGTGCCTGGCCGTGCTGCAGGCCTTGTCTGTGCTCCACGCGCAGGGCGTCATCCACCGCGACATCAAGAGTGACTCCATCCTGCTCACCCACGACGGCAGGGTGAGGAGCAGGGTGGCTTAGGCTCCCCCTCCCTCTCCCCAGCTCTCCTCTGCTCTTAGGGTGTCTCTGGCCCCAGGTTCGGTGGCTGGAGGAGCAGTAAGTTTGTTTGCTCCTCAAGCGACAGTCCAGAGTTGGGTCTGGGTCAATGGGGGCCTCTGTTCATGCGACACTGGGGGGCCTGGACTGGGGAGGCTCTGCCTTCAGCAAGGGATGCTGGGAACTATAGCGTCACACTGGGCCCAGAGAGGGCGGAGGGGCCTCTGGGTGGCCGACCCCAGCCCTCGGCCATATGCCTCCTCCTCCACTGAGAGACTGTCCCTAGCCGAGCACCCAGAGGTGGGCCGTCAACCACGGCCCTGTCTCCCATCTTCTGGACCGAGGCTCCGAATCTAAGGTCTGTGGAGGAGCCTCCCCAGTGACCAGAGCCTGTCTTTATATTTTAAGAGTAGACGTGATTTTCAGCGGGAGAGGGTCCTCGACTTGCACCGAAATCTGCCCTCCCCCAGGAAGGCTAAGCCCTTCAGTAGGGGTAGGGATGGCAAGTTTCACTGGCAGTCTCCTTTGAAATCCACCAACTCCTAAAGCCGTCTACACATGTGTTTGGAGGACCTCTGGGCGCCTGAAATTGTGTGCACACCATGTGCGTATGTCTCCTGGGGGGTGAGAGGATCCATACATCTCCCCAAGAATCTGGAAGGGGCCCATGGCTCCACAACGGTGGGATTCTGTGGCTCTGGGCACGTGGTCGTTGTCGAGTGGGCCGCACCCCTCAGGCCCTCCTGGGCAGGGCTGCGCCCCTCTCATCTGAAGATGTGCTCCCTCCAGGGACCCTGGGCATGGGCTTTGGGGTGATCTGAGCCCCCAGGAAGCATTTGTTGCCTGTAGGGCTTGGGCCACTCCCCCCAGGAGCCCCAGGGCAGACCCTGTCAGGAAGGCAGCCATGTGATCCTGGGGAGGGTCACACTTGAGGGCCCCCTGCTGGCAGATGGTGGGGCTGCCCAGTGGTCTGGCTCCAACCTCTAGACGGCAGGTGGACGGACCCTGCTCACTCTCCCACCTCAGCCCCTCTGACCCCCCGCTGGCCATGCCCTGTTACAGGTGAAGCTGTCAGACTTTGGGTTCTGTGCCCAGGTGAGCAAAGAGGTACCACGGAGGAAGTCACTGGTCGGCACGCCCTACTGGATGGCCCCAGAGCTCATCTCTCGCCTCCCCTATGGGCCAGAGGTAAGCCGGAGGTGGCCGGGCTGTCCGGCTGTCAGCCCTGGCTATGGCGTGACCATCTGAAACAGCTGCAGTGCTGGGGGCCGGGTGGGGCTCGGTCTGGGAAATGGGTCACCAGGGATGAGCTTTGGGAAACGAGGTAGGTACGCGCGCATTCATCCCTGATTGGATGCTTGTTCGGAGCCACACCCAGGGCTGTGAGTCACAAAACCAGCTCAGAGTTAGCGGAACATGAAAGGTCTGGGTCCCAAGGACTGTGAAGTTGAGGATGGGGACAGTCTTCTGGCCCAGCCATCCATGCACACTGTTCCCCCCAGCTCCGACTTCTTCAGTGTGTCCTCAGGCAGCCGGGCACTCCCCTTGTCGGAGCAGAGATGGCCCAGTACCCCTAAGTGTCCCAGTCCCCCGCTCCCCTCCCCGGAGTGCCCCTCCCCGGAGTGCCGCTGTTTTCCTTAATCTTAGGCTTGGTTCTGATTGGCCCAGCCTAGGTCACGTGCCTGTTCCGGAACCAACTACTATGTCCCAGCTGAGCTGGTTCCGCCCCCTGCAGGTGGGAGGGAGGGCTGTTCCTGGTGGAGACCTGGGCGTGGTTAGCGGGAATAAGGGAGGGGTGCGGCGTGCGCAGAACTTTAAGTGTGTGGGTCTGGCAAGGTGGGTGCCGGAGCGGGTGTTCAGGACCCCAGTCACAAAGAGGCAAAGGCACAAGCTGGGCCCCCCGCACAGCTCAGCCCTGCTGTCCCTTCCCCACTGCAGGTGGACATCTGGTCTCTGGGGGTGATGGTGATCGAGATGGTGGACGGGGAGCCCCCCTACTTCAACGAGCCACCCCTCAAAGCCATGAAGATGATTCGGGACAACCTGCCACCTCGACTGAAAAACCTGCACAAGGTGGGCCCCGCCCGGCAGGCGGTGGATAAGGGAGAGGACGCTCGCTCCGTGTTGGATTCCCCACCCCCGTGGGGCCCCTGAGCCTAGCCGGCCGTCCTACGGTGGTTGTGCTGAACACACAACAGCATAGCCGGGGCCAGGAGAGGAGCCTTCCTGGTAAGGGAGGGGTGCCCCCGGGGCCCAGCTGCCGTTGCCTCCTTACAAATCTTAAAAAATGCAGAAGAAAGGATCCCCTGGGTGGATTTGTTGCTTCCCCTGGGGCTGAGCTCTGGACACACAGGATCCCATGGCCCCCTCCCTGGGCAGCGGACGTTGTCATCCCATTTGACAGAGCACACCGAGGCCCAATGGCCTGGGAGCAGTGGAGGTGGCATTCAGACCCCCTGACGGCCTCCCCTTCCTCCTTCCTCCCGACAGGTGTCCCCGTCCCTGAAGGGCTTCCTGGACCGCCTGCTGGTGCGCGACCCGGCCCAGCGTGCCACGGCGGCCGAGCTGCTGAAGCACCCGTTCCTGGCCAAAGCGGGCCCACCCGCCAGCATCGTGCCCCTTATGCGCCAGCACCGCACCAGATGAGGCCCCGCGCCCTGTCCCTGAACCAAAGAGCCCCCGGGGTCACCCCCCACCCTGCCGCAGGCCAGTAGGGGGCCGGCCCCCACTCCTCAGCCCGGGAGACACTCCATGTGGCACCGCCCTTCTTGCTGGGGGTGGGGGGTGCAGGACCCTACTACTGAACTCCAGTTTTGATTTTGTGACTTTTACAAAAACACAAGGACTCGTGGGGGCACGTGAGGGTCCCGGAACCCCCAGCTTTGGGGACGGGCCCCCCGTGTGTCTTCCTGTCTCCAGGAAGGATGGGCAGCCCCCCATCACTGGAAATCATCTGCAGTGGGGGCTGCGGTGGGTGGAGAGAACACTACAAAAGGTGTGTGTGTGTCTGCGTGCGTGTGTGTGCATGCACGCAGGTGTGCATGTGTGTGCGCGTGTGCATGTGCAGAAGGTCCACCCGCTCTGTCCTCCAGCCTGTGACTGGGCGTCTCAGAGACCTTGCCTAACATACAGCCCCCTGTCCCCCCCCCTGAGCCATTGCGGGGGGCGATCATGAATGTCTGAAGAGTGGCCTTTTCCCCAAGTCCCGCACCCCCTTTCTGTGGCTGGATGGGGAGACAGGGGTCAGGGCCTCCCGCCCGTCCCCAGCCTCTGCAGAGGACGACTACTGCGCCTGGACAGCCTCCTCTTTTCTAGAAGTCTATTTATATTGTCATTTTATAACACTCTGGCCCCTGCCCCGACTCGGGACGGATGGTCCCTGCCCGGCGGGGCGGCACCAGGGACAGAACCACCACTTGAAGAATCAGGTTCCTGTTCCCTTGGAGCAGCCCCACCCTCCCCTCCCTCAAGTTAGTTTTACAATTAAAATGTTCTCTTGTTTTGGGTGTGTGCGCGCATGCTCCATGTGTGGAGAGCCCCGCCCCCGTCCAGGCAGCTTGGTGGGGATTGCGGGGAGGGGTTAGGGTGGAGAGAGGCCAGCCTCCCCTGGAAGGTTGAAGCAGCCAGTAGGGGCACGGATTCGCTCACCCCCTGGCCTGCTAACAGCCAGTTTATCGGAGTCCATGAGCCACTGTGACCGGTTTGCCAAATCTGGGATTTGCTGGAAACTTGTTTTAAAGGTAGTTTGTCTTGAGCATGTTCAGTGGGCAGAGATGATCCATGATGAGTTTGTGGTACAGCAAGTTGGCCATTCAGAAAGTTGATCGGTTGGGAGGTGGGCTTTTGAGGAATTGGCAAAGGCAGGCGGCTGTCGAGTGGCCGGCTCTAAGGATGCTCCGTTGGCCGAAGCCTTCCCTCTAAGTTGGGGTCCGGGGAGGCTGAGCCTGGGTCTCCACAAGGGAGAAAGCAACTGGCTGACATCAGAATGACCGCGCTGCCTCTTTGTACCTACCGGTCACTGACAGCCCTGGCGGGTGCTGGGCTTCAACTGCGTGAGTCCTCCCCGGGGCCCAGGAGGGGGCGGGAAGCAGCAGAGTGAGGAGCGAGCGCCATCGCCATAGGCACCAGGGACCTCAGCCTGGTGTGTGGGCAGGAAGTATGTAGAGAGTCCGGCTTGAGCCACACTTCCCGCTCCCCACGGTCACATGACACCCCCCCCCCCCACTTCCTCAGAGCATACCTCTCCCCAAGCCCTGAGCTCCCAGAGGATGGGGCACCGAGGATGGGGCACCGTGTCTGTGACCGGGGCTGGCCAGGAACACGCACTGAGGCTAGATGGGGACTCAGATCGAATCATACCAAGGGCAGCAGCTGTTGCTGTGTGTGAATGTGTTGGAGCCAGGGTGGAGCTGTCGCGTCCCTGGGCAGAGCCAAAGTTGGCATAAGGAGGAATGGAAAACCGGAAAAGTCCAAAGCGACACACCCACCCCCATCCCCCGCCAAACACACACCAAAGAAAAAGCTTGGAGTGTAAATGCTTTTACAAAGGATGTCTACCAGACTTGGAAGGATCAGGTAATGCCTACCTGGTACAATTTGTTCCAGAAAATAGAAAAAGGATAGAAACCCCACTCATTTTAGGAGGCTGGTGAGCCTGTGATCCCCAAACCAGCTCAGGACGGTGAACAGCGCCCCTCCCGCTCGCAGCCTGAGTGCCTCGTTCCCTGGGGCCCCAGGGCCACTGCAGGAAGAGCCACTGCAGGTGAAGGACCGGAAGCCCCTCCTACGGTCGTCATTACGGGGTGGAGGCGATTCAGCTGTGATTGTCACCCTCAGTCGCCATCACTGCAGTTTAAAAACGGTTTTGGGTGGCCTGAGGGTGCCTCTGCAGGCCCCGTAGAAGGGGTTCCTGCGCCACCAAACGCCTCTAGTTGTTTCAAACAGGACATTTAATACAGGGGGTGGTTACAAACGTGTTGGGAAGTCTGGGGGGCCAACAGGGACAGTAACCTGGCCACGCGTGGGGCTGAAGGAACAGAAGGGCTGGGTGGCACCACCAGAACCCCCGGGGGGGGGTCCCCCATCTGCTGCTGGGGGAACAGAGGTTCTTCCAGCTCCCCCCCGCCAGTACCAGTGCCTCTTGCAGGTAGGACCCTACTGCCCCCAGCTGGCAAGGGGGTCCATGCAAGTTAGTTCTTCAGGCTTCCAGCAGAACAAGGGAGCACTCAAGGCGGGTGTGGCACAGCAGCAGCCCACTGACCAGACCTGGTGTGACACGTGCAGTGTTACCTCGGCTCCAGCAGGGGGTGCTGTGCTCTAAACTGCAAAGGCCTGGGAGGGTAAGTCAGGATGTATTAGCCTGTAGGTCAAAGGCAAGTTTACAGAGACCCAAAATGAGTGAGTGAAACAAGTCAGACCAGTGGTTCTCCCCAGTGTGGTTCCTGGACCAGCAGCATCCCTGGGAACTTGCTGGGAATGCAGATTCCCAGGTCACGCCCCAGGCTGAACATGGTCCAGAGGAGGACGGTGGAGGTGGGCACTCCCCTTTAAGGAGGTGATCAGAGGTTGCACCATCGTCTCATTGGCCAGAGTTTAGTCACGTGGCTTCCCCCGGTGGCAAAGGAGGCTGGGAAATGTAGTCTTTATTCAGGGCTGCTGTGTGTCTGGCTTAAAATTGTATTATTGTAGAACTGTGATTCTCCACCTCTGCTGTTCACCAGACTCGCTGGGCTTCTCCGGAGAACCCAGAGGCAGACCCAAGTGTATTCAGGACCTTAATATATGATAAGGATGGCCCCCCAAAGCAATGAGGGAAGAAGAGATTGCTTAATAATAGTGTTGGGGAAATTGGTTCATTTTATGGAGATAAAAGAAAACTGAATCCGTACCTAACACCACAACCAAACCCTTAATCTGTGCTATCCAGAACGGTAGCCACTAACCACGTGTGGCAATTAATTTTAAATTAATGAAATAAAGTGAAGCATTCAGTGCTGTGGCTGCACTAGCCATATTTGACATCCTCAATTGCCACTTTTAACCAGCGGCTACTAATTAGACAGCATAGATCTGAAAGCTTAAAATCATCTGAGTTCTATTGGTCAAGGTTTCTCTGATGGATTCAACATCCTCTGAAAAACCATAAAGGTGACGAAGGAAAATACTTGATGACCGGGAGCAGAGAAGAAGTTCTTAAAACTCCCTCCATTGGAACAAATTGTAAAAATAATAATAATAATAATTAATTTGACTGTGTTAAAATTTATTTTATTTATTTTTTTATTTTTATTTATTTCTAGGAGAGAGAGAGACAGTGTGAGCAGGGGAGGGTCAGAGAGAGAGGGAGATACAGACTCTGAAACAGGCTCCAGGCTCTGAGCTGGCAGTCAGCACAGAGCCCGACGCGGGGCTCGAACCCACGAACCGCGAGATCATGACCTAAGCGAAAGTCGGATGCTTAACCGACTAAGCCAGGTGCCCCAGACTATGTTAAAATTTAAAGCTTCTGTTCAAGGAAAGACATCATGGGCAAATGTAATAGGTTTCAGAATGGGAAGAAATATTTGCGAAGTCTAACACGGAGAAGATTTGTGTGTGGGTATGTGTGAGAGAGAGAGAGAACAAGCAAGCAGGTCAGAGAGAGAGAGAGAGAGAGAGAGAGAGAGAATCCCAAGCAGGCTCCATGCTGTGTGTGGAGCCCAACATGGGTCTCTATCCCATGACCCTGGGATCACGATCTGAGCTGAAGTCAAGAGATGCTCAACTGACTGAGCCACCCAGGTGCCCCAAGATTTTTTTTTTAATGAGAAAAAGAGTGGCCCAAATAGAAAAATGGGCAAAGAGTATAAACAGGCAACTTACAGAAGAAAAAGAACCCAAAAGACCAACCAGGGTGTGTATGAGGGCACAAACTCAGTGGTAATCGGAGGAAGGCAAATTTCAACAAAAAGCTGTCACACGTCTGGTAAAAATCAGTGTGTGGTTTAGACAAGTGAAGTATTGCACATGCGCATCTCCCAATAATTCCGCTCCTGGGTGACTTTCCAAAGAAATCATGGGACCGGGAGGGAGTGAACACAAGGGTGCTCCCTGCCTCAGTGCTTGTGGGGCAGGAGCGGGAGACAGCCTGGGTGTCCATCCGAGGGCAACGAGTGGTAAACACCGGCTGCACGCCAAGGACTCCTGTGCCGTGCTAAGGAGCCAGGGACCGGTGTGCCCGTGGAAAGGGGGAGCCAGCCCAGCAACAGAAAAAGTAAAATTAAGATCTATGTACCAGGCTACGTGTGTTGATTACAAATTATGGACATAAAACACTAATATTCATTTTTCAAAATAAAAAAGAGAGAGAGAGAGAGACTCATTTACATAATAGAATGGCTCCCAGTGGGGAAGAAGGGGGAGGAAGAGGGAACAAAGAGGAAGAATAAATGAACAAGAGAGGGGTTTGGGGACGAATAAAGACCTTGACGGTCATGCTGAAGGTCTGTCCTATGAACAAAGGGCAGCCCCCTTTGGTGTGGCCTGGGACCTGGTCATGGGTATTCAAATGAAAATTATCCAGGTGATTGTGTGTGTGTGTGTGTGTGTGTGTGTGTGTGTATTTTTGAGAGAGAGAGAGTGCAAGAGAGAGGGGGACAGAGGATCCAAACCAGGCTCCACACTGACAACACAGAGCCTGAAGCGGGGCTTGAACCCATGAACCGTGAGATCATGACCTGAGCCAAAGTTGGACGCTCAGTCGAGTAAGCCACCCAGGCGCCCCTATGCAGGTGGTTCCAACGTGGTTGTGGGGACAGTCCAGCACTTTGTCCACCACGGTGTCACTGTTGGACCCAAACCACGTGCCTGCCTTCTGCCAACACCCCACAGCTTACGAAGAGGGGCCCAGAGAAGCATCTCATGCTGTCCCCCATTTCACAGATGTGGAATCCTGTCCACAGAGGGTAAGGCCCTGCCCCAGGTCCCGTGGCCTAGGAGGGCCAAGCCTGATGTCTCAGGTCCCTCGCTGGCTTCTGTGCCAGGCCCCGCGCTAGGCAGTGGGGCTGCAAGATTGAGCAGGACACCCATGGTCCAAGAGGCTCAGCCTCCGAGCCCCAGGGCCAGGCCAGTAACACCAGGGAGCAGGAAAGCAGGGAGGTGGGGGGAGCACACTCCCCCCCCCCGAAGAGCAGTCACTTCTCAGGTCACTGTGACCTTGTGGGAGTTTGGCCTCACGATGCCGAATGTTCTGATGTTCCTTGAGAAATCCCCATTTTCATGTGAAAGTTCTTCAATCTTAAAAGGTAGGCAAAACACGGCACCTGGAACAATATCTCGTGGGCCAAACAAAGTCAAGGTCATAGCTAACGTTCAACAAAAACTAAGTGTCCAGGGCCTCGCCGAGCTCCGAGTTTAGCTCTTTGAACCTGACAGTGTGTTGAAAGGCGCCCCTTGCCGCCTCCCGAAGATACATCCACGTGGGGCCTCTCAATCCCACCTTCTGTGGGAAAAGGGCCCTTGCAG